TATTCGGAAAGAATAAACCAGTTTTATTAAGAAAGGGCTTGTGTCGCTAAAGTTTCGTTGGAAGCCAACGAGACGGAGACCAGTATGGATGAAGATATATCACGTGAAATTAAGAGACTTTGTTGAATTGTTATTTTGTGTTTGTAAGTCTGGACATTTAATTAAGTTATTGTTGATTGTTTATTGGTTTAATGTAAGTGGCTATTGTTCATGACGAACAATACTAAGGAGGGGGCAGTGTTGCGACAGAGGAGGTCACGTGACTAGTATCAGGCCACGTCCTTCTCGAACGTTCACGTCCCTTCCTTAATTGTCGAGAACCTACTAGATAAGTCGTAGTCTTGTATATATAAACCGGTAAGAACTGAACGTGAGATAATGTGTAATTGAACTGCGGAGAGAGAATATTGTTGAACACGTGAGACGTTTGTTGTGAATTATAGCGTTCGTTATAGCGCGACTGTTGAAATTAAGTGTATCGCAAGAAAGGACTTGTATCGGTAAAGTTTCTTCGGAAAAAATTTTTACGCAAAATTTAACTAACGAACGTAGACGTAACAATATTATGAATTATTATTTTCTTGAATGAATATGCTCCTTATTCAGAAGAACTGGCGAACCAGCAAGATAGTCTTCTTGATATTCTTTCATTTCACCTTACTATTTTTAATAATCATTGCGTTATTTTAGAATACATTATATTTTTCATTTTTTAATCAATTTCTCTAGTTGTAATCTCTTTACTTTTCTTATTATGTTTTTAGCACAGTGCCGTTTTGTTGTTTTCTAGCAGTATCATATTTATTTAGAGAATTATGACGGTAGGTGACTCAAGCAACTTGTACTGTATGATGAATTTAGACGTAATTCGAGGATCAGGTAAGTAGTAAAAACTAATTGAATTAAAAGTAGATTCATTGTCTGTATTATGGGTTGGTTTATAAGTTACATAATGAATAATAATAAAGTAATAATATGGTAGTTTAGTAAATTTATACTTATCATAGAGATTAGTTAGTATAAATATGTGTGAAAGCTGTAATATATATATATATATGTAATAATATTGTTAATGATATGTAAAAATAATCCAGTGCAAGTTATAAACTAAAAGTAAAATAAATATTAATTGTACTACCTCAGAATTCTTTATTTAGTTGCTTATTGAGTTACTAAATAAAATAACTGCATACATTAAGTTGAAATTTAAACGTTAAAGAAAGTGCACTATATAGTTTACACATAAGTCACAATTCAAAGTTCAAAACTGTAATGAAAACTTATGAATCTAGTTAGTATGCACGATTACTGAATTTCATAATAAATTTATTATTTTGTTAAATTATAATATATTTATACATGTTTTGGAATTTCTCATGACAGTTATGAGAAGAACAAATGAATCAAAATACAATCTTTATTAGATCAGAATGTTTCATGTATTCATTTGCATAATGCAGTTTGTGGAGAACATTATCAATAACATCATTTAATTATATAATAACTTGTACTAGAAGAATCGCTAAAATTACAATTAATGATAATCAGCCTTAATTATGCGTGGCAGACAAACCACAAAAAGCCTCTATGATCGCTATGCTTGGGTATATTTCCTGTTAGTGTTAGCAGTGTTTAAGTGAAAATTTTCTATTTGAGAACTGAATTAGCTGATATATATACATTAGAATAATACGGTTAGTTGTCTCTTGTCAAAACTTGTATGTTGGAATGCTATATAGTATATGTGAGAGTGTTAGTTAAAAATAAGTGTTTACTAAAAACTTGCAGTGATAAAATTTTATACTTGTACTGTAAATACCTTTTTTTTTTTGTTTCACAGTTTCTGCTAGTGGTTCTCAGTTATGTACCTGCAGATTTAATGTGTGGGTATTCTACTTCTAGAATAAATACTTTGTTAAAAAGTACATGCTACAATACTGGTAGTGTTTTAGAAGGATCCTCATATTGATAAACTAGTTGTTTTATAAGTTGTAACTTTGTAGCTTATTTCATAAAAAGATAATACTGTTAATATATTTATGTATGGAGGATAAAATATATTTTTATTGTGTAGAGTTTAATAGTTTTAAATTTTAAAAGGTCTTTACTGCAATGGTTATTTGTAAGGTGCCATTGTTTGAAAAGCTTGTTTTTTCTGTAAAGATGCATAGTTCGCTGCTTCACAAGTCAGTAAAAACAACTCAAAATTTAAGTTGTTTGGAACATTTTATTAAATAAATTCTAAATTGCATAAACAATAAAATTTGTATTTGAAAAGCATTCTTTTCATTCTAAGTTGGGCGGTATGGCCTGGTGGTTAGGGTACTCAACTCGCAATCTACAGGTTTGAATCCCTGTCACCGAACATGTTTGTCCATTCAGCCATGAAGGCATTATAATGCGATGGTCAATCCTACAATTTGTTGATAAAAGAGTAGCTCAAAAGTTGACTAGCTGCCTTCCATCTGAATCTAAATTAGGGACGGTTAGTTCAGATAGCCCTCTCATAGTTTTACATGAAATTCAAAACAAATAAACTAAGTTGGGCAGTTAAAGGGTCTCTTGATTTAAGTGTTTAGAAAATATGTCATTTGATAAGTTGTATGAATGTTTGAGAGATGGAATGAAAAGGTTGGACAATTTGATTAGTGAAAGAAGTTTTATGCTTTGCAAATGTTAATTTTGTTGCAGTTACACACAGTTTAGTTCTTTAAAATGTTTGTTTGATAGATTTGTATAGGAACAGGACACATTTAATTTTCTTTACAATGCTTTGCCTAAATATTTTGGAGATTGAAGGTGTGGTATTAATGGGCCAAGTGGCTTTCTATGACCGATTTTTATTATGTACCTTAATTATGAAACTTTTTTTTTTCCAGTTTTATCATTATTCACACTGTTATTCAGTTTATAACATTCTGTGTGTTTGTAATAGTTATGAATGTAATTTAGCGAGTGTATGCATTGACTGCTAAAAATTGTAGTTAGTTTTTTTACTTTAATGGTGAGCTGTTAAAGAAATTTTCATATAGTATTAGTTTGTGACATTATTTTGCCTGTCATATAAAATATCAATGATACTTTATACTGTTACTAGTTTTTGTAAAGTGAAACTATACTAGGAATTACAAGAGGGTACTTTAATTTAAATTTCATAAATAATAAAGCTAAAGTTTTACACTTCTTAAATAAAAATGACATTTTCAACAAAACAAAAAACCTCTTATCAGTGTAACTTTTTTGTATGTGAATTGTTATATTTGAAAATTATAAAGTTATCTTTGTGTTTTGTATAATGTTATTTAAAAGTTCTTGTAATTTAAGACAAGTATAAAATCTTGAATCACTTGGCAAAATAAAAAGTTCTAGAATGCCAATTATACTCTTTAAACAAACAGTAATCCACAGACTACTAAGTTTCTCTAACATTTTTTGTGCTCACAATGTTATATTTCGAAGTATACAAGTTATTTTTATAATATTAATTTAAAGTACTCAAAGAGGTTAATCATAAAATATTAAGTCATTTAGTGGAATGAAATGTTTTTGGATTATAAAAATAAACTTTGTGTTAAAATTTACAAAAGTATTGATTTTTCTCTCTCTTTCTTCACAAGTGTTATGACACCTAAAGAATGACTCAGAGGACCACTGTTCAGTGGTCAACCTCAATCTCAGATGCCGTTTTGTGTGTGTCTGGACTGTTTGCCATTCATAGATTACATAGTTTTTCCGATAATTGGTTCTTCCACCTTGTAGCTACTTCTGCACAGTTGGAGGACACTCCACTGTGTGGAATCCTGGGCTTCCTAACCATAGTTATAGCCTCTTGTTTAGGCATTCTCCGATTTGGTATGTATACCACAATTTATAATTTCTACTTTTTCCTTCCATCTAAAGTCTAGAATGTATTTTTGTTTAATGCTCTTCTTCTTTATTAATTTTTCAATTTAACCCTAACTTGGATCAGTTTCAGTTTTGTGTAGCACTGATAAATAATATCGTGATGATCTTAAATCAGGTAGATATAGTCACATTCTTGAAAACATTAAAATTCTAAAAATAAATCCCTCCAAAAAAAAAAAGGGTAAAATTCTGCTTTAACTCAAGCAGTTAGTGATATCTGACAAAAACAGTAAAATAAAGCAATTTGGCATCATTCACATTGAATAATCTTATTTGTGTGCTGTGGAACTGAATTTAAATTCAACTTAAATTCTAATTAACCACATCACATTTTGTTTAATCTAACTTAGTGATGATTCTTAGCCAAATTAAAAGCCAAACTGAATGTAGATTCAGTTTTACAGCACATGAATAAAGTGATGCAATGTGAGTGATGTCAATTGCTTTATTTTTCTGTGTTTACAAGATATCACCTGCTGTTTAATCAAAAGCACAGAGTTTTACCTTTTGTTTCTTCTTTTTCCCAATTATTTTTGGATGGATTTCACTTAGACATTTACAATGTAATCATTATTGTTTAACTATATCTTTTATAGGGAAGTAAAATGCAGATCAGGATATTTCTAATATTACGCACATTATCAAGTAGGTTACATGGGATTGGAAAGTGTGTTACCTTTAAGATTGACAACATGTAAGAATGAGACAGAAGTAGTAGTGACACTGGATGAAACTCTTGTTCTCAGCTTATCTGTGATAAATGAATTCTGGGAATGAAGGGGTAGGAGGGTTTTTATTTTCATTAATATGGCATGCTTTCAAGAATAAATATTTACAACTAAAAACAAGTAACTACCCAACTAAATAGATGCAGATTGAATTCATTGCTTCATGCTGCTGGTGTTAAGATTAATTAATATATCTTAAAATTTGAGAGAGATAAAAGGATATACTGATTGTGATTGCCTTTGAAAGTCATATTAAGTACACTAAACTTTCTTCTTCACATTCGTACTACTAAGAAAAACATTACTTGGACCAATTTTTTTTTATAACTGGATATAGATTGGGGTGCCAAAAATTTTGAAATTTTCTGGAAAACTTCATTGGTTTTAGAATCAAAAGTAAGCAGAGCTGGTGAATGAAATCTTACAGACCTGTTCTAGAGGTGTATACTAATCAGGATAAAGCAAAACATTTTCCATTTTCAATTCTGGAGAAGAGTGATAAACATATATATTTTAGGCATAATGAGCAAACTACATAAACAGAAAATAATTTTTCTTTTTCGCTCAAAATTATCTTTTTTTTTCAAGTATAAATTAATTATTTGTGTTTATTTGTAAAAGTACAAATTTTCTAACTGTTTTTTTTTTGGGGGGGGGGGGTAAAATACACCAGCCACGACCTTTTACAGAATGGTATTCAATATGGTGTTATTTATTTGAAATTAGAGTTATCAACTATTCATTTTATCATACATTGCTAATTTAGTAACAGTTTGTAGTAGAGGAAAATACCAGATATAGTATATAGCGAAACTGAAAAAAAAATGTAGATCAGCATTTCAGAGGTTCTAAAGGTTATGCAATATGAAAGCTGTACAATGGACAATAGTATTTTTGTTCTTCATATGAACATCACCTTGCACTCTAACTTGTCAGAGTCTGAGATATCGTGTCGTCGTCAATTCAGACACATCTTGAGTTCAAATAATTTTGTAATTCCTCTGGTATTTTGAATACAACATACCTGTACATTTTACTAAAAGCTTGCCACATTTCATGTAGATACACATAGTAAATTCAGAATATTCCTTTTCCAATATGGTGTACATGACTTAATGCTCTGAAAGTTGTCACACATAATCTAACTACAATATATATATATTTTGTAACTGACACTGAAGTATCAGGTCCTGTAACTAATTTATTTCTGTTTGAAGAAAATAATTAGTGCTGGAGGTTATGGATTTTGAAAATATCTGCATTTTATTGTTTATAAAGTTACATTAGTGGTGCCTCTGTTATATCACGGTACATGTAGTCAGATTAAGAGAATGTAAAACTTTCAAAATTGTTGATTATCTATACAAGAGGGTTATAAGAATATTGCTTAGCATTTGAAGTTTCATTTAGTGGAACCAACTTAAAAATCAATATCCATGGTACTAGGAGCAGTTCTAGGGTTAGTCAAGAAACCTTTTTTAATGCGTTACATATTGCTGGGTTGGATGTGAATTGTATAAACTCACATCTCTGTTTAATTCTGTTATTTTTATATTTCTGCTGCTTTTCAGGTGTGCCAAACTGCCCAACTGGTCTAGTCAATCTTCATAAAAAAGCATCATGGTTTGCAGGGATAGGTGGCATGTCTCTATTAGCGGCACAACTAAACTTTCTGTATCAGCATATTAATGCAGCTTACCTCCACCTGCTTGATGTTGTGGTGGTTCTCCTTGCTTCTATTGTTCTTCCATCAAAACTAAGCTCCACACTCCAGCAGCTTCAAGAAGTAGGAGCTGTCCTTTCCCTCTGGATTCTCAGTGTTACCCAGGAGAACTGGGTTGGAATGCTTGGAACAGAAGTTTTAATTGTAGCTGTTATTATTATAGGAACTGAAGGAAGGTGTCTCGGAATGCCCTCTGTTGATGCTTTTCACTACACACTAGCTTGTTCCTTGTATCTTTTGTCACGAGCACTTGCTGAGGGTTAGTTAACTGGTTGTGTTTCATAAAAATCTGAGCTGTTCAAATGACATTTTTACTCTTCACTTCAGTGGCATCTTAGTGTAGAAAATAAATGTAATAATAGTTATTTGCTTTCAGCATGTTTATCAAAAAGTTTCCTTGTGTATTAATATACGATGTAACATTTCATGCATGTTACATGTACATCTCTTAAAAGCCTGGATACTGTATGCTATCAGCTTATTAAACAAAGCAATTTACAATTATACTATAAATGTTTTTTTTTGTTTTTGCAACTCCCTCTTTCCTATTACAAACAAGGCAGGATTATTTTAAAGGCTGTCATGTAAAATATTTGGCATTATTATAAAGAATCCCTGTGATTCACATCATACATTTTTTGTATTTTAATTCAAGCATTTTGACAGTTTTTCTTTGTAAAAATTTTCATTAAAAGTTTAGAGTCATTTTGTAATGCTTTATAAATATCTCAAAATTGTATACTTTTTAGAAAAAGATCAATTTCCATGTCAATGTTTCACAATTATATTTATCAGATTAATATTAACTATCAGCATGAGCTTGGTCCTTCGGACCAATCTCATAACCATTTTGTGCTTGTTATAGTTTTCATGCTATAACTTTTAAATTACTAAGCATATGTTAACAAAATTTGGCAGATTATTAGTAAACATTACAATGCTTTCATACACAAAATGTCAAAATTATTTTTAGTAAGTCTTAATGTTTGTAAAGCAATTTTTTTCTAATGCCTTTTTTTTTTCTTTTCACATGTTGCCTATCCAACATGCAAAG